AAATTTCAACATGCTTGAGAAAGACACAAAGAAATGATTTAAAAGTTATGCACTGTACACTGAAGCACTAAATTGTGAGAGACTGATAGTAAGTACTACAAAAAAAAAATCACAAGACAGGTTTTTAAAATATTCATAAATTTGAGTATCTTTCACAATTTTTAAGTCACCAAGGGATTGTTTAATGACCCATCTTTAGCATTACTACAATATTTTATTGCAATTTGTTTAAATTACCTCATTAATCACAAATAATTTATCTTTACGATCCATTTTAGTATCTAAAAAAGAAGAAAAAACAAGTTAGCAAAGTATTTCAAAGCTACTTCAATCGTCATATATGCTCTCTAGAAAATGTATGTAGGCTAATCAATTTAAAGGAGATTAAAAAATATGAAGACTTTATAATTAATTTTCAACACCTCTAGATTCTTTTTAAATGTAAAGAACATAGGTAATTTAAAAGTCATCAAGAATTACAAATTATGGTTTAAGCAGCATTTCTTAAGAATTAAGGCAGTCATCCCTAAGAACCTGAGAATGGTTACAGGAGCCTCTACAGATAAAACCTTGGACACTCAAGTCCCTTAAGTAAAATACTATAGTACTTGCATATAATCTATGCACATGCTCATGCATGCTTTAAATTATCTCTTTATATCTTACCTATAATACCTTATACAATGTAAATATTGTGTAAATTGCTGCTGTACTGTATTCTTAGGGGGGATAATAAAGTCTGTACATATACTGTACATTGTTTTCCTGAATATTTTCAATCTGTAATTGGTTGAATCTGCAGATACAGAACCCATGGATACAGAGGACTTTGTTGTATGAATTTTTCAAAAGTAGGCAAATTCTCATAAACTGAAGATTATGTTCAATAAGCCCAGTTTAAGAAAAAAATTCCGGGCCCGGGATTTAGCTCAGTGGTTCGGTGGCCTGCCTTGCAAGCACAAGGACCCGAGTTCAATCCCCAGTACCAAAAAAGAAAAAGAAAAAGAAAAAATTCCCACAAACTAAAATCTCAACCAATGAAAACATCTTTTAATTTTGAATCAGTTGTCAAAAAAAACAAAAAACAAAAAAACCCTTATTTTAAAAATTGGTTTTAGATTATCATGGAAAATATCTAAATGAAAACTTCTCTTACTAGTTTTAGGACTGAAGACATTAAAACAGACGAGTATAAAGCAGCAAGCTATTACAGAATTAAAATAAAAAACATCTCCCAACAAGGGCACAAAATAGCCACATGGTGGCACTGCCATGGTTCTACAATTAAGACCAGACCGAAGCTATCCCACTGCTAACAATAACATGGCACTCAGAAATAGGTTGAGCCCAAAGGAGGTCCTTCAAATCCTATCCCATACCCACTACTAATTTTTTAAATAAATATAGACCTTTAAAAAGCTCAAAGAGCTATACATGACAGTCCTGAATCACTTAGAAGAACAAACCATTTGATTCATCTCTTGACTCTAAAAGCATTACGATGAAGCCACTAGATATTTCAATATTAGGTTATCTGTTTAAAAAAATAAAAAATGCCTAATTCTGTAAAGAACTTCTTATGAAATGTTAATTTAAAAATTGTGGTACTTGAAAGGATCAACTACTGAGGTGCTGTGGTTCTTTCCCTAGAAAAACTGTAAGTGAATAGTAAATATATAAAGAGGCAAGTCTGTAAATATTTCAAGTACATGATACAAATGTACCTGCTTTAGAATGAGGCATCAACGTTCTCAAGTCTTGCATTAAATGTCTTGTTCTGAAATTTATTCCTCTGGAAGAGAAGATGAGAATCCGTTCCTTATTTTTCCATTTGCCCTAAAGAAAAAGAAAACATTAGAAGATTTTTAAACCTCATACTGAACCTATATGAGAATATTTTTTTAAAGGCAGTTTATAAAGCTTCCAGAGCTAGGCACTGTGGTGCATGGCTACAGCTCCAGCTACTAAGGCTTAGGCAGGTGGATCATTTGCACTCAGGAGGTCCAACAAGAGGGCAGTATACTGAGACCCAGTGTGGAAAACAAAAAACAAAAACAAAAACAAAACCTCCAGGATAACAAATTACAATCCTGGCCCTAAAAAGCTCAATCTCTTACCAACATTCACTAACCACACCTGTCATCCAGAAATGCCCTCCTTGGTTTCCTTCCTTTTCTGCTTTTCATCTTCAATCCCATTTTTCTTCCTTATCTAAAAGTTCTTTATTGGCCCTCTTAAAAAAAAATTTTTTTTTCTGTTCACTCCAAAACAGTGAACTCATACTATTTCTCATGGCTTCAACTGCCAATTATAGCGGAAGATAAGAAACTATCTAGCACTAATAATCCAAGTATGTGGCTAAAGCCTCAAACTCGAATCATTATCCAATACCAGTGGGGCCAAACCTATAACACACATGCCACAGCAGGCTGTTATCACTGAGAAGTGCTAAAAGCTTTGCCATGCCTCCCCTGAAATCTGATAAATTTCCTTGCCATTTGCCTATGCTGTCACCATCATTTCAATCTTCCACACTTTGATTAGTCCATTTTCCCTTATTTTTTAATATCATAAACACTTAACGCCATCAATTTCTCTTTGCAACAATTCTTTCTTACTCCCACTATTCTTTCTTAGATCCTTACCTCATAATCCACGGCAATTTCCTAAACCACTAACTAGCTTTCCCAAACATGAGCTACTCCAATAGATGATATGGCCAGCTAACACCAGTTGCTGTTTTTTAATAAGCACTGTTCTGATCACAATCTTACCTTACAGGGTTTTCTAAAGAAAGTTAACATGACATAGCTGCAACAATGGATTTTAAAATACATTTTAACTTCTTACATCACTGTTGCCCAATATTAACCCTACCCTTAAGCCAATCCGGCTGTTTTTTAGATTTTAGCATTTCCACACTTTAATCTTTTGACCAGTTTTGTACTACTCCCTCTCATTTATTTTTTTCCCCAGACAGGCTCTTGCTATGTAGTTCAGGGGGGCCTCGAACTCACAGCAGTCCTCCCACCTGAGCTCCCCAGGGTTTAAATTACAGGGTACTGGGATTACAGAATTATGCCAATATACCTGGCCCATCCCTCTCATTTTTACCCTTCAAGATCTAACTCAAAGGTTGGGTCCCCCGTGATTCCTCAGCTTTTCTCTTAGCACAAAAGCAGTTTCTACCTCTAAAAAAAAGTGGCTTCAATATCCTATGGCTTTTTTTTTGCGATCTTAAAAATTTTATTGGTACATTTTGGATACACATAATGATAACATGCATGACAGGGAATTCGTATCTGTATATGATATATCTTAGTTCTTTTTTGGTGAGTTGGACAAAAGTAATTTGTATCTCCTGCATTCTACAGAAAGAATTATAGTGTCACTCGGATTATAGATCTCATTCATTCCACTTGTTTCCACCCCCACCCCACACTTAAGAAAGAACCTAATGCCTTGGCACTAAGCTGAATTCCTCAGCTTGTTTTTTGTTTTGTTTTGTTTTTTGTTTTGAGACAGACTTTTGCTAAATTGCCCAGTCTGGACATCCTTGGCCTCCCAGAGTCCTGTGATTACCAGAACATCACTAAACTTACTGACTCTTTCCTGATCCTTAAAAGAGAAGTTTATGAAACTCTACTAGCAGTCCAGCTTTTCACAAAAAGTACTTTCATCCCTCAATTTGCAGAAAGCAAAGGATCTTATTGTAGCAGGGCTACAATTTATATTCATCTTTCAGTTCTGAGTCACTCTCTTCTCAAGCTTCTCATCACACTACCCAGGGTTATTTACTTATTATCTACCAAGGGCTAGAATATTATGCTGAGAGAGAGGTTACAGAAATTAATAAATCAAAAGCAATCCTTGTCTCCACAGTTTTCACCTTGTTTAAAATGCTTTCATTGGATGAACGTTAACCTCAACGAGAACTTGTTCTCGTTTCTTTTTAATAAAATCTATCCATTTCAAGGAATTTTAGTCTCCTTCTAAACACCAACATTTCGGAAAAAGTAATCACACTCTAGTCATCTTTGCAATTCTAAGGCCAGAGAAGTCTATCTCGGTACAGCGCGTAGCACATTTAAAAATTGTTGAACACTTATCTAGTATAGTTTTCATTATCCTATAGTATTCATAGACCTGATCAAATAAATTAAAGTCACAATCCTTAAGACAGTAATTCTTTAAAGGCCTGGACAACAAACTTCAGGATGAATGACCGCCGGGGGCGGGGCATGGGACTACTCACGACTGGAAGACATAGCCAACAGAGAGTAATAACTAAGGAAAATCATTTCTTCCAGAAAAAAATCCAAGTAAGGGAAAGCTTCCGAAAACTGCCCGGAAGGTCCCTGTAAGAGGGTTAGGGTCTGTAGGCCGCCGCCCGGAAGAGAGCGGCCACGTGCGCGAGGATGACTTAAACATTACGTCCACTCCAGGCGAGAGGTCTGCGAGACCGCGCTCTGATAACACCCTGGCAACTTCGAAATTAGCAAAGTACTAGTTAAGTAGGCAGTCCTGAGGAAGGCAAATGAAATCTCCGCTGCGGGCAATAACCCCTTCTACCTTGCAAACGGGGCCTGGGATACGGTCCTTCTCCGCTTCCTCCATCTCTTCTGGTACAACCGATGACTTAGCTGGGAGCCCGGCATCTTTTTTGTTTCTTTTTGGTTTCTTCGCCTGACCCGACAGGTCTCCACGCCGCTTCCTCTTGATTGCCGCCATCTTGCCTCACCACCATCCCTCTTGACCGAACTTCCGGTTCTGCCACTCGCTCCTCTCCCCCCCCGTTCTCTATGGTATCCTCGCTCGGCTCCGCTGTCCCGCTTCAGCTCTATGGTGCCTTCTTCCGGCTTTGGGGTCCTGCATGTTCGGCTCTCTAGGCTTCCTTCAACTTTGTGGTTGCTGGTGGCCGAGGCGGCGGGTATTCCGAAAAGAGTGGCGGATCCGCTTCACTTTCCTTGTGGTTTCCCGGGAGCTGCAGGCCATCTGTCCAAGGACCTACCTGGGAAGGGTTCCCTGGTATCCGTACCCTACCACAAAAGTAGCGTTTCCGCCCCAGGGGCTTCCCTTGTTGAGTAAGCTGCCGTTGCGTCATGGATGGGCTGGTGAAGAGGGTGGCTGGGACTCTTGGGTACCTTCTGAGAACTTCAGGCCGGCGCCCCAGCACGTTCTGTTGGTTGGCGAGGCGAGGATAATAACCTGGGGGGTGCACACAAACTGTGGGCGAATGTGGGCTGTTTGGCATCGCGAAACCTTCCCGAAGTAAAATACTACCGTGATTTTATAGTTTGCAACTTTCCATGTATCCCTGCCCGCACACCGAAGACCGAGAAATCTGTACTTGAAGAGATAATTGTCCCGAAGGGCAGAGGCTTAGCTGGATCTGGCCAGCCAGATTAAACTTTCTGGCCCCTTTCACTTCCTGTCGAGCTGGTTATGAACTCCGGGCATTGCTAGCACTAATTGATTTATTGTCACATCTCTCAGGTATTTCCTGATCTTCAGGAACCGCCCTCCGGAACGAAAGCACAGTAGACCATGCCCCTCCTGACCCAGCACATCCAAGATGAGAATGATCAGTACTGCTTAGTGGCCAGCCTTGACAACGTTAGGAATTTCTCCACTATTTTGAAAGCTATTCATTTCCAAGAACATGCTACGTGTTTCGCTACTAAAAATGGAATCAAGGTTACTGTGGAAAATGCAAAGTGTGTGCAAGCCAATGCTTTTATTCAGGTATGCAAAAAAGGCACCTGTTAGCCTGCGACACGATATTCTTTACACAGTTGCATGAATTCTGGAAGGTCTTATGAGACAAAATTTAAGAGTACAAAATGTCATTATTTGAGATTTTTCTCCCCGGATGACAGATTCTTTTCCCATTTTGCCTCATAAAGATAATGGTTAATAATGACTAAAGCTTATTAAACTAAACTATAGGATAGGAACTTCTGAGTGCTCAGCTTTTTTCTTTCTCACAATACTAACAAGTAGGCTGTGTCAGTCCCATTTTTACATGTTAGAACCTGAGGCACAATGTAAATCATTTGTCAAAAGTAAGTGACCCTAGTCAATGGAAGAGCACATAAAATAGACAAGGGAGCATCACATTAGGGAAAAGTTTAGGACCAGAAATGGAGATATAGGACCCTTCACAAAATTTTTAATGGGGGCCTAGATCACTGTTACACTATTAAACTGTTGAGTAGAACTGTTCTAATGGGTAATAGTTGAAAAAAAAAACAACAACTAGGATGTTTCCCTTGGTAGTGAGAAAGGTTTCTCAAGGAGTTAGCTGAGTGTTGTTATTTTTAAAACATACAAAGTGAAATATAGAATCCTTTGTTTTCATTCTTTAATAACATCGTTTTCATTTTTACTTTTTTTCATAGGCTGAAGTATTTCAAGAGTTTCTGGTTCGGGAAGAGTCTGTTATATTTCGAATTAATTTAACTGTCCTTTTAGACTGTTTATCTATTTTTGGATCAAACCCTATGTCAGGTGAACCATTTTATTATCTGTAAAGACATAAAAGAAGGAGGAGCAATAGAGGGTAGAAGAAAGAGTGGACATGATCAGAGCAAGATATATACATCTATGGAAATGTCACAGAGAAGCCCCTTAATTTATACAATTATGTGTTGGTAATTATAAAAAAGACAAAAGCATACACAATGGTCAAATATACAGGAAAAACAGAGAACATTATTTAGAATACAAACAGGAAGGTTTTAGAATATAAACATTTCTTTGGAAAATTCTAATTCATTTTTCAGTGGTCACAGTTATGGATTATAACTTTGCAATCAATTAAATGCATGTTTATAGTTCTTTTCATAATTGTGAAAGTACATTTAACTTATAAGATTTAGGAGATTTTAAATTTGAGCAAAGAAAAAGAGTTTGATCATAAGTATTTTCAATTTCATCTTTGCCTTGTTCAGAATTAGACATTTACTTAGTGGCAGAGAAAAGTAGAAATGAAATCTACTGACTCCTGGTTTATGGTGTTCCAAATTTTTTTAACCCTGTTTATTATGTCTAGTTCCTCAAATATTTCTGTATGTGTGTGTATATATATAT